AACTCTTCTGTTTACCTTACCTATTGACATTTACAATTTACCCATTTACCTTTCAGATTCCATGGACAAAAATCAATCAATCGATCAAAGAGAAAGCAGACCCATGAGAAGAACATGAGGTTCACGTGCCACCTTAGTTCCAAGCAGAAGAAAGTACATTCATAATAAAACACGATCACAGTAATATTCAAAATCAATTTAAGCAAACAAGAGTGGCATAATTGAAGTCAGAACTCAGGGCCTTTTTCCAAGAGAATAAGATGGATTGAAATAATTGCCACCACTTCCACCAAAAATATAATTAAATTAAATATGCATGCATGTTGTTGAGGAATAATCATTATAATAGCCCCAAAGAAAAATGTGTTTATTTCTAGTCAATTGGAAAAAAAAAATGTATTACTGATTTTTTTCCTCCAACAATATAGCCATTGCAAAATGCAACCACGTTAATGGTGAGGTTAAAATATGAAGGAGCCAATGACAGAAAACTGGATAGTTTCAGACAAACCTAACAGCTACAACATTACAGTCATAATTTCTTCTTCTTCCACATGCCATCTGCCCCCCACGCACTTCCATTTCCTCAGAACGGCAAGTCTATAAACGCATCGCATTGCCTAATCATGGGGTATCTTTTCTGTTTGCACTAGAGTTTCTTTTATCTGGGTCAGGGAGGACCAGGTGTGATCTGCCTGGCAGAGTTCTCTCACAGGTGATTTTAGAAACAGTGCCCTCTAGATCCAGGGCGTTCACTCTCAGGTCTTCTATGAAGAATGATATTTGCACTAATGAATGTTTCTTCTGCTGTTATTGGTGAGGCAATTAGGCCTTCTGACACTCATGCCGCTGAGCGCGGGCATGTCCGCGGGCGGCGGGCCTCTGGGTAATCAATCACGTTTCTTGGCAGCGCTGTCAATCAGAAGCTCTCCTGAGTGGCATCTATTGACAGTTCTCAGCACACTGACGCTTTCCTGCTCCCTCTCCTCTTTCGGGTTCATGGTAATACAGACTTTGAGCCTGCTGTTTTTTCATCATAGAGTGAAATTTTTTCATTTTTCTCTGCTTGTGTTTATTCTTGCCCCCTGCTTTATCCTTTCAAGACTATCACAGAAAATATAGTATTCAACACGAATCCCCCAGAGGGGTTCTTCGCTGTGGTTTCAATATATATTATTCTGTATCGCAGTTCTTTTCCTCCTCCTTACCTTTTAAACTACATCCTCCAACCCCTACTACAACCCCAAAACATCTGTACTCCACCTTTTTCTATATTTCTGACCATATCATTGACTCCTCCTCAGTGTCCAGAAAGCTTTAACTAATTATCAAGAGGGAATTGAATTGTTCTCCCCCTGTCAGATGGTCCCTAATTTTTATCACCAAACTATATTTGCAAGGAACCTCATATGCTGGATTTTTCAAGACTACCCCAATCTCAAATAATCTGCTCCTCAGACCAGTGGTTTCAAGCTTTGGTTTGGAAAATCAAGTTGTAACACACTTAAATGAGATTATTTTAAGTAATTGCAGTATTGACATCTTTCTCCTTTGTGTACTCAGAGACAGCCATAGGCACTAGAAAAATCCCTATTTCAATTAGAAATCGCATCTTTATTTTCTGTAAACTAAAAGGAAACCTTACCTTGCTGCATGGCAACATGGGGACAATAGCTGAGGCCCATTTGCAATTTGTTTGTATCTGTGCCCCACCCCTACTGGCACCATAGCAGACACTTGCACCCGAAAGCGAGCTTGCAAGAACGTGCATGCACGTGTATACACACACATGCACACACACAACTGGTTATCCCCTATCTATCCTCAAACTCAGAGAAACCTCAGCAGTGATAGCATGGGGGATATTAAGGAATGATCCTTTGCTCTCTACTTTCTATAATTCCTGGGTTTGTGTTTTCCTGATTTAACTACTTCTGGCATCTTCTTCACTCCATCCACTCACAAGAAGTACCCAAGGCAACTGGTGATCTGTTATCCATATTTTGGCAGCTTCTCTCTTTCTCTCTCTCTCTCTCTCACACACACACACACACACAGACACAAATGGGAATATGCTTTTTATGAAATCTCTCCATAAAGAGGTATGTTGGTCAGCACGAAAAGCATCCATATATGCCACAGTCTTTCAACGGGGAACTAGAGTTTCTTCCAAGAATGACTTCTAGGGATGTTTGAGCTACATTATTTGTTCAGATGACAGCATGAACAATGGTATTAACTTCACTAAAGAAGAAAACAATAGGTCAACTGGAAATGGAAGACAGCCGGTAGAAAAGTTGGGGGGAGATGTAATAATAAGTGACACAGCCACTGGTCATGTGTCAGGCACTGTGCTAGGCACACTACATGCATTCTCTTTTTTAAGCCTTACTACAACGCTGTGAGATCAGTTAGATGAAGAACTAAGGCACAATGGGGCTGCTCACCCAGTTAGGAAGCAGAGGAGCCAGCACTTGAAAGCAGATTGTCTGACTCCAATGTCCCGGTTTTTAAGTACTTTGTTATTTTGTCTTGTCAGCTCGGGCTCAGCACTGTCCAGGGGAGAAGGTTATAATGTTCTGGATTCCGAACTGTCTTAGGTAAACAGCCCTTGGTCTGACTCTACATCTGTCAAGTAGCCTTCAGGTTATAATTTGGCCTCCTCTGCTATCATGACAATAGGGAGGGTTTTGTGAGTCCAGTGAGAGTTGTTTCTCGCTGTACAATGATGAATTGGCCATTCCCTGCCTTCCTTGGCCTCCTGAACATGCAGTTACCAAAAGCCAAGCCCCTTGAACCTGAGAATTCCCCAGCCCTCCAAACTTGGCCCAGATCCTGGAATGGCCTGGCTCCATCCAGCCCTCCTTTATAAACAACCTCCACCAGTTCTAACCTCCAATTTCTACTTTCTTTCCCCATAAACATTACACCTTAATTTCACTCTTTAGCTATACAAAGGTGGCAAATGCAAACTCTTGTTAGCACTCTGAGAACCTCGTCCTCCATCGTTTTGACTATATGCTCTTTTCCTCTCCTCTCCATGTAAATGTTTTCTTTGAAATCAATGACTCTCCACTACCAGTGCTCCTTGAAACTGGTTGACTCATAGACACCAACTCTGTTAGTGGCACCACAGCATCAGCTTGCCTTTGTCCAGTTTCTGGACTCCATCAAGAAGAAACAAGTAACATTTGAGCCAGTCCTTTAGTCATTATGCTAACAAAATCCTACGTCTAAATCATGCATATGTGTGTCTATATATGTGTATATATACATACATCTGTATTACATACAGCATGCATAATGCACACATGTATTATAATACATACATGTACATACATGTACATGTAAAATACATTTTTATCTTTCTACTTTAAGGGAAAAGGCTCTGCCAGGCACTAAGCTTTTAGCACATCCTGGAATAGTCATCCCCAAAGGATTGTCCTGCCCACAGCCCTGCTAAGGGGGCCTGATTCCACAGGGAGGGCCTGTGAACCTGTGGGAGCCAATCTTAAGGCTTTCAGACACTTATCAGGGCCTGACATGAAAAAATGAGCTCAGCCCATCAGAGTCCTCTCTTGGCATCTTGACTGGGAAACACTGGGAGATGGGGCTGGGGAGTCGAGGTGCTGAGGATGAAAGGAGGGCATGAGGTTGGGCTTGGACCGGGGCAAGCCATGTGCACGCAGATGTTATGAGGGGTAGAAAGTCACAGTAGAGAGGAGGAAGAGGCTGCTTGGGACAGAGGAGATGAGAATAGAGTAGACGTATGTGGAAAAGCACGTACCATGTAGTCCTCAATTTTAAGAACATGGTTTTCATAAACATGGTAGAGAAAGGAAGAAGGATGCCTGGGGCTTGGGAGCACAAAGGGAAGAGCACCAAAGCATCACGGGAAGACAGGGATGAGCAAACAATTGGCCCAGTGAGGAGTGGGATGAAGAATCCTCTCACTTTGTCTTAAGCACCTGTGTCTCATATTCCTTAAAAAAAAAAGAAACAAAGAAAGAAAAGAAAAGAAAAAAGGTACAAAAGCAATTTATGTAACCAAAATGTTTATACTCCCATAATATTCTGAAATTTAAAAAAAAGAAAGAAAAAAGGCCAACACTTATACCCTCTATAACATACATAATGTCCTAAATTTTCACCAATAACAAATTTGTCTCTCAAGACAGTCAAGTTCTCACCTCATTGCCACTTGAGTAAGAAAGAATCTTTCCCCTAGTAGGTATGGATTTATTTACATTTTGTTCTGATGACAACTTTGTGTAGCTGGTGATATACCAGACAAAGCAAAGAGTGTTGTGATGGTCTATAAGTTATGCCAGTGTGAGTGGAACAAGCAGGGGCCTAACGTGCACTGTGTGTTTCTAGACGTGGCCTGCAGTCAACACCCTGCATTACTGCCAGTCCCAAATGCATCCCATCACTGCCTCTTAGCGTCATATACAGTCCTCACCCCAAAAAGTGAGGTTCTCCCCTTTCATTCCCACCCTGACCTGGGATTGGGTATGAACCTTTTCTATACCCCTCCCACTTCACAGCAAGTTTTCCTTTCCACGTAAAACAAACACATATCTTTTCTACTATGACTGTTTAAATAAGCCCTTTCACCCATTCTTGCTGAATCCTGTAGTTTTATTGGAGAAGCTGGATGTTGAAGGGGCTTACTGAAAAGTCAAGTCAAAAGGAAAATTAAAACACAGTTTCCAGGCCCTGCAGAATGTATAAAAATGGCTCCTTGCCTTAGCGGAGTTGAGAATACAATGTTGTAAATGTAGCACTTGGCGTGTGGCCCACAGGTCTCATTATTTTACAATTATATCAGATGTCAAACATCAGTATTGGCATTTAAAACCTACAGAGCTGGTGAGTGTTTAAAACGGTTCACGTCTGCCTTCTGCAAAAGTTAAAGTGAAGAGATGACAGATCTGTTTAACACAGCATGTATTTTGCCTAACTAGCCAGTGACAAGAAAGAGTTACACAGGTACTTACTATTTATAACCCATGGCCACATCCACAAAATACTTTCTTCTCTGTCGATAGACATTGTCCTTAAATCCCTTAAACACAAAAGAGATTAAGTTATTTAACAAAGTGCTGAAAAATTAGCTGTAGAAGGCCTAAAAGAAAATCACTGTGGTGTTTATTGAGTGTTCATTTCAAATGTAAATTTTATCCTTGGATGATCATCTTGATGACACAGGCGGAAGCAAATCGCGCTTACAGTAAAACCTCATTAAATTGGGGCTGTACTAATTTAGGATGTGTGGGAATTCAGGCTAAAGTTTACCTTTCCACTAAGTAAGTAGAATGGCTTAGTTAAGCAAATTGATATATTGTACAATTTCTTTTGGTTTTTAAGTATCACTTGCACGTAATTGATCTTAATCACAAGTTAATTTTATCGTATTCATTAAAACAGGTCCTTTTAACATGGCTGTTCAGTAAGTTAACGTAATTTTAATTGCTTGTGTAAATAACTAATAAATATAACATTTATTAAAGATTCTGGCCAGGAAC